ATATGGCGCCGTGTGGTGATTGTGGTACCGAACTTATCCAGCAGGTAGAGGCCGAGATAATCTCAACACCCAAAAACAGCATCCAAGTAACTTCAAGTTTTGCCACATCAGCTAATTTCATAAGCAAATAACAGTCATGTTTTTTCTATGTTACCCAGAGGCGCAGTCACGCTTTATTATGACCTACTACATTTCTCTAACACCCCTTATCATCATTGAGTAGGCAAGAGGACAAGAAACACAACGAAACTCGACCTTATTTTTATACAATGCAAAGTGTCCACACCTCAACCATCAGCTAACCGTGTGTTTCTAAATGCCCCCAGGTCACTCAAATGATCCAACACCTTTTTATAATATGAGATTACTCGCCCCTGTAATTTATTTTGTGGTGCCCACATGATATAAAAACTGCATTAAAAATCAACATTAACTATGCTGTAAGGTAGTACTCTAAACTGACCAATAATTGGCGCTCTTGCACCATCTATTCTATGGAAAATGTAGTCTACACTTCTTGTGCTTTCTACTGTGCACGTCATCGTTGTTCAGAGGTTGAATATTGTATTTCAGTGGAAGAAATACTTTTTCAGTATCTTACCGAATGTGTGCAAGTTAGGCTGGAATAATTTTTAAATTTTGTATGTTTTATTTCCAAAACTTTGTCCCTATATATATTGTACCATATGTAAAGGTCACATATCTAGTAAAATGACTGTAAATTTTATATTGTATTTTCAAGTTGTTTTGGAATGTTTTTCCTCTTCCAGAATTTGTTACTACCGAAACATATAGTATTATACAAAAAAATAAATATCAACCTGTTATGCTTGTTCCTTCCCTTGTCTAAAGTTTTACATTTTTACAATTTTTTACTGAAGGTTTTCATAATTAAATCTATAAAAATTAATATTTTAACAAATTTCGAAGTGCAAATTATAGAATTCTTCAAAATCTAAATGCAATCTTTCTTTGTAAAATGCATAATGCTGATCAGATTGATTTCAGAGTTAATAATTGATGAAACAGAACATAAATGTAACCGATTAGCATCATAATACTTTAGTTGATAACTCAATATACTTTTTACAAAACACCCAGTGTTTCAGTAGTGACTGTCCTGTTTCGGTAGTGACCATTATTCTGTCAAGGTTGCATCATATTCCCTCAAATGTATGCTTTATGGTGGGAATATTACAAAGACAAATGTTTTATGGTTAATAAAACATTTTAATTTTTGAGAGAGTAGAGTAGAGCAGAGCAGAATAGAGTAGAGCAGAGCAGAGCATAGTAGAGCAGAGTAGAGTAGAGTAGAGTGGAGAAGAGTATAGTAGAGTAGAGCAGAGTAGAACAGAATAGAGTAGAGAAGAGTGGAGCAAAGTAGAGCAGAGTAGAGCAAAATAGAGTAGAACAGAATAGATTAGAGCAGAGAAGAGCAAAGTAGAGTAGAGAAGAGTATAGTAGAGCAGAGTAGAGCAGAGTATAGTAGAGTAGAGTAGAGCAGAATAGAGCAAAGCAGAGCAGAGTAGAACAGAGCAGAGTAGAACAGAATAGAGTAGAGAAGAGTGGAGTATACCATAGAGTAGAGCAGAGCATAGTAGAATAGAGCAGAGTAGAGCAAAGTAGAGCAGAGTAGAGTAGAGCAGAGCAGAACAGAGTAAAACAAAGTAGAGTAGAGAAGAACAGAGCAGAGTAGAGCAGAACAGAGTAGAGAAGAGTATAGAGTAGAGCAGAGTAGACCAGGGTAGAGTAGAGCAGATTATAGAGTGGGACGGGGGTGCAGCACTACCCCCCTTCTCAGAAATTCAGGGGTGTGGCTAAAATCCAGACTCAACCAGTGCATTAAAACTCTTGTGTTTCGGTAGTGACATGAAAACAAGGGACACTATTTTTTTAGCATAGTTTCTTAATTTAAAAATTAATCCTACAATACATCTAAATCTTTCCGCTTAAACTTAATCACAAATATGTTTCAAATTACACTTTTGAAAAAAATATGAAAAATGTTTTAAGTGATATTTACATCAATTGAATTTTAGAGGTCAGGGTTAGGGACAGCTACTTCCCAACAGAAAGCACCCTATAAATGGTGATTGTGTATATATTTAGCTTATCACTTTTTTCATTTAATGTCCTGGGTTTAAATAGGTCATAACATAATCTTTGTAAATATCTATGTCTGAATAATCTTATTATTTATTTATTTATTTATTTTTTTGTTTGTTTGTTTTGTTAAGGGACAACACTTTGCACACAATCGGTAGAATGTGTGTAACAAGACAGATCCACCTTTACTAGCATCTGCAGCTTCTAATCTTGTGAAACATTACCTTGTACTTACAAAAGTGCATTGCATTCACCAAAGGAAAAAAAAAATCAAATGTGACTTCTTTATGTAATTATTATGGTTTATTATGTCATAATTACGGGATTCAAATCTCCAAAAGAAGAAAAAATGATGTCATAGTCACGTGATTTGGATCTCATAATTATGAGAAAAGTTCTAAAAAATTTACCCCTTTTTAAGTAAATACAGTATTGCATCTGAACAATGGAGTAAACAGATGGAAGTTATACTTAATTGTCAGTAATATGCATTCTGCTCAATAACACTATATCAATCTGTTATCACAAAGAGTGGCCCACACAGATTTTGCCAACCTTGCCCTGCAATAAGCCTATTCTTTGTTGCCTTCTGTCACAGCCTATGTGACAATGTGTGTCCTGGCTTTCAGTACTAATATAAGATCTGACAAGGTCTTATCACTTCTTAACATTCTGTCCATGTGTCTGGAAAACAATGTTACAATGCTGGCTTCTGATTCACCCACAAAGCCTTTTATTTTATGATGTCACTTTTCTAAAGTGTATCAAAATGATACCAGAATTTCTAATGTGAATGTATCAATCAGAACTATTCTTATTAATGCTAATAATAACAATGACGCTGGTGTGGCTGGTGTATGTCTTTCTAGCCTGATAACACTAGGGGCCTCCACTGACCAGGAACCAGTAGTGTGGTTAGAGAGCGGCTTATTAACTTGATGAAACACTAACAAAATCTTACAGACAATGGATATGCTAATTTGAACTGAACACACTCTCCCTCATGGGTGTGGTCCTCACCAGCAGGGGGTGAGGGTTTGGGGACAACCTAAGCTGGGATCACCACCGTTATCCTATTATTGAAGTGGGGAGGGTAGAGAAACAGCAACAGACCCAGTCTTTATGCCCTCTTGCTACCCATCTTTAGATGAGCGATGGTGCTTCCTGCCAGATGCTTGGCTTGGTGCAACTTCTCTTATTGTGCCCATCAAACTCATATATGCCTATGTGCACATGTGTTGACCGTGCATACAAGCCTGTCATTCCTGCCGTTTCTTACATATCACTTGTTTCTTGTTTTTATATATGTATATATTGTGTTATATATTATTGCACATTGAAACTTTTTTCATACACACTTAGTATTTATATTTATATTTTCTATTTCTTTATGCCTATATACAGTATAAAAGCCACTGTAACATGTCCCAGTCCCTCCCCTGGGGGGAACAATAAAGTATTTCAGATTCATGATTTTCTGCATTAAAACACATTAGCACTTCTGCAAGCCACATTTGTTTGTCTCGGCTTGTTTCTGTTTTCCCATTTGGGCCCATTGCACCTGTGAATTAATAGAATACAGCTCTTGGTGTCCTCTTGATATTGATAAGTCCTGATGGTTGAAATTATGATAAAATCATGATAAATACTGAATGTGTGATACTCAGGAAATTGTCATGGTTGTTAATGCCAGAGCCTTTGTGATCATGTAATGTGATCTGTGTAGTAGACCATTTTTGTTTGTTTGTTTGTTTGTTTGTTTTAATAATATATGATTTATTTAACAAACATAAATACATTAACAATATATACAAACAGAACTCTCCATGCCAGGGGTACATATAGGGAAAAAAAAAGAAAAAGTAAGGGACTGTTCTTTACTCATCAGAGGGGTGGCTGGAGTGTGACTTTATTTTGTTTAACCATCCCTTAAGCAAAAAATATTTTCCTTGAGCTTCCCTGAGTGACCATAAATTAGTAATTAGATTTTTAAAAATATACTCTTTGATGATTGAAAGTTGAAGACAAAATCCTGAAATTAAAAAAGTGCATGCTGGTTAATTTGTGCAAATGGTTTAGTTTTAATAAAATTTTAAATGAAGTGTAGAATAAAGCGATTTTGATGAAATATCACTACTTTAAGCTTGGATTTGGCTTTGTATTTTTTGTGATAGAGCTTTTGTCCTTTATGATATGACCAAGGACCATTGTTAATTTGAAAATCTAATGACAATCAGCTTTAAAATAAATGCAAAATACAGCCATTTTAAGTTCTATGCCCTCTTTTAAGCCAAAATTAAAAAACATAAGTCCCTCCCCAGTACTTAAAAAATATTTGATATGCCTCCCCCTTTTTGCACCACCAGCTCATAAGTAACAAACAGACTCTAATAAAGATGCAGAATGCTGTCTCACTGATTCACATGGAATTTCTCAAACAGTTATTTTTTATTACCTTTTTATTCATTATTATTGTTGTGCCACATGGTTGTAGTTCTTGATAGAAAACTGAACTGCAAAATCCTGTTTGGAGTCCGTCCATCTCTTTCGGTTAATGTGGAATTTTCCCCAATGATAAAATTAAGTGTAGGCCGACAAAAAAAATGTTTTTCCCCCTCATAACTTTGAAAACACATAAAAATATCATTATCCCATAATTTAGTTGTTTTTTTTTTTTTCTTACAAAGTAGAACACTCACCCAAAATATTCTAATATACATACGATAGTAGCCTCATCGCTATCCACGGTGGCCTGGTTGGTCACAGAGCAGCAAACAGTGTGAGAGGAAGTGGTGCCTGGGAGGCGGAGTTCAGGGCAAAACAGCCGGCTCAACAAATTGTGGACATTTTGACTCCGCCCTCCGCAGCCGAGACTGGGGCGGCCGAATGAAAGCTCATCAATTCCCTAAAGCCTATCACCCATACCTGTGGAGAAAGAGAAACGCAGCACATTAACTGCTGTACTTTAAGACATTGTTTTCGCTTCTTGGGTGGGACTTCCTGCAGTGGATATCTGTTGAATGGGGTTTCCAATTCTGGAGCCACTTTTTTTTCTTCCCAAGCTAAGCGTACGCTACTTTATTCTTGCACGGATTTAACCGTTAAGACGCGTTTATAAATTGTGAATGTGGAGTTTTTGGTGGACCAGACCTCGGGATCAGTAAAAACATGGAATCTTGTAATGGTTTGACCTGGAACTGGGAGCCTTCGAAGTGCATGACCATGTAGTCCAAAGGTAGGGTGGACTCTGCATGATATTTATGTATCTGAGACTTTATGATGCAGTCTGACCATATTGGAATATAGAGTAACAGTGAAGCGAGTGTAGCTACTGGTAGCTACAGTGTAGTTATTAGGCCTAACGTTACAATTCATATCAGAGTGTTTTAAAAGTGCGTGTTTTCCACGGGGAGGCAGATGAATAAAGTTAGGACAGGCTACAATTTAACTTCTTGTCACGATGCAAAAGACACGCATCGTCAACCCCAAACACTGGAGTCTGGTTGGTTCCATTCAGCTTTACTGCTGGATCTGCTGTCTAGATTAAATTTGACCTTAAATGTGAATAAAACGTTTCTTGCGTAATTTATTTAAGATAAGATAAGATAAGTTAAGATAAGTTCCGTATTAATGCATTCCTCTGATAATTACAGCCATGTTATAGGTGGATAAAGGCAAATAACAGAAGATAAATGGAGGTATTGCACACAACAACAACAACAACAACAACAACAAATGTACATACTAAATGTGTAGTGATGTTTATGTCCACGAACTTGAAAGAAATGTGCAGCAATTAGACAGACGATTAATGACAGAAAAATAGTTACATTTGTCTCCTCTCTGGGCCCACATCACCATTTAAATGTCTCTTCTGTCTCTGTCATGTTTCACATTAAGTCGGCAAATGGCTTTTAGATCAGTATACCTTCTGCATTCCTGCAGAGGAAACCTCTGCTCTCTGTAACTCCATTCAGTGTTTTTCTCAAGCTTTTTTGGCTACAGCTTCAAAATGACTTCACTATGAAATAATGTGATAGCTTTCACATCTTGAGGCTGCCATCCAGGCTGCACTGATCATTCCTAGCCTACCACCTTAAGGAACCAAACAGAAGTGCTTTATAGTTTAACAGAAATTCTGCATGGACATTATGTCACTTAACATCGTGTATATGAGCCATTAAGTGGAACATGGAGGCGACACTAGAAATGTGAATGAGTTGGGCCATTCAAATGAGAGAAAACATTTTCCTCTTACCTCTAGTGGTATCTGACTATCACACAGATAGTTTTGGGTTTTGTTTTTACTAAGGTATACCTTAGTAAAAACTCCAAAATCTCAGTCCTTCAGAAATCTCCACATGACTGACATTTTGTTTATGTTAACATAATCAGAAAGATGACACTTAAAAATTATTTTTTTAGTTTCCATTGGGACTATCTATCAGACAAATAATATTATGTGGTTGTGGTTTTATTGTAGTTAGGGCTGGGCAATATGATGAAAATCATAAATCACAACATCTCTGACCAAATACCTCAAAAGTGATGTTGTGACAAAACTGTAGGGTTGAATGTTGGTGCTTTTGTGAAATATTTACACAATAGAGTGCTTCCAGGCCCACAGGAAAGCCACTACGCCTTGGAGCAAATTATTCTCAGTTGCGGTCTTGCCGTATTTCTGGTATCAAAAAACCCATTCAAAACCCATTGACTTTCAGATGAGGGGACTATTAGTACAAAAATATGAACTAATTTCCAGGTTTCAGGACTCATTCCTGCAGCACTCCATGATTTTTTTTTAATCAATAATTAGAAGTAATGTAGATATAATGACTAAGTGGGTAAAGGCAAATAATACCACTGTGTAAACATGTGTAAACCTGCTAAAAATAGGTGTGTCATGTCAGGGTCAGGCCAGAAAACAGGCTAGTAAACATTAGAAAGCAGCAAGAAGGTCCTGTGAAAACTTTATGGTGGTTAGGGCGGCAGTAGCTCAGTCCATAGGGACTTGGGTTGGGAACCGGAGGGTCGCCTGTTTGAGTCCCCGTCTGGACCAAAATATGGAGCATGGACTGGTGGCTGGAGAGGTGCCAGTTCACCTCCTGGGCACTGCCGAGGTGCCCTTGAGCAAGGCACCGAATCCCCCAACCGGGGCGCCTGACCATAGGGCAGCCCTGACCAAAGGGCAGCCCCCTCACTCTGACATCTCTCCACTTTGTGCATGTATAGGTCCTGTTTGTGCACGTGTGTGTCTTTCAGACCTGTGTGTAATTGACAAGCAAGAGTGAAAACATTGAATTTCCCCTCAGGGGGATTAATAAAGTAAATAAACTTAAACATACTTATCCTGACTCTCTATTATAACTTGGTGTGGACCAATTTGGATCAATGTGTGAGCGCTGCTTGGGTGAAGATGGACAGTATTTGTGGTGGCGCTTCATTGTATCTTGCTGGTTAAGGGGCTAAAATTAGTGGGGCTTAATAGAACAGCAAGGACAGTCTGGTATGTTCAGGAAATGACATCACTTTACTTTAATGCAGTCTTTAAAACCAGGAAAAGACAACACTTATGGTATTACAATATCCAAAATCTAAGAAGAAATAGTGTCGTGTCATATCATGATATTGATGTAATATTGATATATTGCCCAACCCTGATTGTAGTAGGTGAAATATAATTTTTATACATTCTAATGTGGTTATGTTGGTCAAATTATTTTCGACTCTATAAGTAACTGTTTTTTCTTCTTAAGTGGAAACTATTTTTGTTTATTAAAGTTCTGCTATCAGACAGCTTTGGGAAGACAGTCTAGCTTTGGTTTGGTCTCTACCAAGTCCAGAGAAAAATACCTGTCTCTATCTGCTAAACGCTCCACATGTTCACCACTGAGCCTTTTAAAGTGTCTTTGTGCTGTTTGATGCTGGGCCTGTAATGATAATTGGATTACAGTTTGTCCTTCTCTGTGAGTTTGTAACTATTAGTGATCCCTTTCATTCATAGACTTTTCATTCAATATTAATATAAAGATATCTTGATGTTTGTACACTTGTGCACAGGCTGAGACAGCTTCACAAACATCTTGAAGAAACACACAAGTATAAGTATTAATTGGGAAAATTGGTTTATTTTCCCTTTCTTAAGTTTTGGCAGTGGTGCTCTACAGTCACTGAATGTGTTTTCAGGCTGTGGCTGGCCTGCTCTCAGGGTTTCTGTGTGTGTGTGTGTGTGTGTGTGTGTGTGTGTGTGTGTGTGTGTGCGTGCGTGCATGTGTGTGTGTGTGTGTGTGTGTGTGTGTGTGTGTGTGTGAGAGAGAGAGACAGAGACAGAGACAGAAATGGAAAGTAAGGGAGGAGAGTTGTCATATGAAAACATCAGCTTCCAGTCTGCTGAAAAGTTTTAGCTGTCAGAACCAGGCTGGATGGGAATGAATCAGCAAGGGTCTAGTGCTGGCTTAAGGATTGGTTTATTTTCCTATGTCTGTATAAAAACAGCAGTCAGGTGTCCATAAAAACATTAAAACTGGTTTTACTTGCTGCAGTCATTCCTCCTGTTCACACTGGTCTTTGGGATATACTGGCATTATTCCAATGACCTAGATGGCAGAAAATATCCACAGTCAAGTCGCATTCTTTAATTAAGCTGACAGCTCAGAGACACTACAGTTGTCTGAGCTGAGACAAATAAAGTGATTATCTTTCAAAGGTACAGTTACACTAAACATTACATTAGCAACCAGTATGAACAGGAAGAATGATTTCAGCAAATAAAACTGGTGTCAATGCACATATGGGCATGTGGGTATTGTTTTAAGACAGGCTTAAGAGATTTATTTTCATTTTTCAGCTAGGGCCAACAGGGTTTAGAGGGAGGGACACTAGTTGCTTCTAGCTTACTATCAGAATGCAAGTTCTTACAAGTGCACAACACAAGTGTAGTCATGTCTGAGCAGAATATACGTTTCATACAGTACAGGCCAAAAGTTTGGACACACCTTCTCATTCAATGCGTTTTCTTTATTTTCATGACTATTTACATTGTAGATTCTCACTGAAGGCATCAAAACTATGAATGAACACATGTGGAGTTATGTACTTAACAAAAAAAGGTGAAATAACTGAAAACATGTTTTATATTCTAGTTTCTTCAAAATAGCCACCCTTTGCTCTGATTACTGCTTTGCACACTCTTGGCATTCTCTCCATGAGCTTCAAGAGGTAGTCACCTGAAATGGTTTCCACTTCACAGGTGTGCCTTATCAGGGTTAATTAGTGGAATTTCTTGCTTTATCAATGGGGTTGGGACCATCAGTTGTGTTGTGCAGAAGTCAGGTTAATACACAGCCGACAGCCCTATTGGACAACTGTTAAAATTCATATTATGGCAAGAACCAATCAGCTAACTAAAGAAAAACGAGTGGCCATCATTACTTTAAGAAATGAAGGTCAGTCAGTCCGGAAAATTGCAAAAACTTTAAATGTGTCCCCAAGTGGAGTCGCAAAAACCATCAAGCGCTACAACGAAACTGGCACACATGAGGACCGACCCAGGAAAGGAAGACCAAGAGTCACCTCTGCTTCTGAGGATAAGTTCATCCGAGTCACCAGCCTCAGAAATCGCAAGTTAACAGCAGCTCAGATCAGAGACCAGATGAATGCCACACAGAGTTCTAGCAGCAGACCCATCTCTAGAACAACTGTTAAGAGGAGACTGCGCCAATCAGGCCTTCATGGTCAAATAGCTGCTAGGAAACCACTGCTAAGGAGAGGCAACAAGCAGAAGAGATTTGTTTGGGCCAAGAAACACAAGGAATGGACATTAGACCAGTGGAAATCTGTGCTTTGGTCTGATGAGTCCAAATTTGAGATCTTTGGTTCCAACCGCCGTGTCTTTGTGAGACGCAGAAAAGGTGAACGGATGGATTCCACATGCCTGGTTCCCACTGTGAAGCATGGAGGAGGAGGTGTGATGGTGTGGGGGTGTTTTGCTGGTGACACTGTTGGGGATTTATTCAAAATTGAAGGCACACTGAACCAGCATGGCTACCACAGCATCCTGCAGCGACATGCCATCCCATCCGGTTTGCGTTTAGTTGGACGATCATTTATTTTTCAACAGGACAATGACCCCAAACACACCTCCAGGCTGTGTAAGGGCTATTTGACCAAGAAGGAGAGTGATGGAGTGCTGCGGCAGATGACCTGGCCTCCACAGTCACCGGACCTGAACCCAAT